AAAATAAGAGCCAATTCCTGTGATGCAACAACTGGCACTTTATGAATATGGGAGAGAAAAAACAGCAGGTTACCGCTTCACAGTCACTGTATGATTCCAGTGGGCCAGAAGGCATAACACATGGCCAAACAATTCGTGGAGTTGAGGAATAAAACACAGGATGAAGTATAAAAATAATGTTCAGCTACTGTATTCAATTTTACAGGTTGAAGTTATTATATTAAAAATAACATGAACTATAATGCTTAGACATCAAATGATCATTAATAGAGTACAGCCCTAGCTGCAATAGTCTTTGTCAGTGCAGAGACAATCAGTGTAATGTACAGGCAAGAACACACACACACACAACATTCAGGTCCTTCAAAGAAAAGAACTTTAATGCAGGCCTCTCTTGAAATGCATGTCCTGCTAACCCTACGCAACAGCAAAAGTCAGCACTCCTGCAAGCTGATTTTGTAACTCGAAAAACAGCAGCTATATTAACTGTGAGTTTTCAGCACAGTTCCATTTTCAGACTTTATTGACAAAGCAGTAAGAATGTAACATGGTTTTAACCACCGACTGGCTACTTAAGTGAGACTCAGAGGGTGGTATCATGTGCCTTGATTCAAAGAGCAGCTTGCACGCAAGGCTCATAAAGACATACTGACGTGGTGGAAGATCTTCATTGTTCACAGCAGAAATCAGAGAGTGACATCAGGAAATATTGGACCAGTTGCTGGAAACAATCCTTTGCCTGGGTGGGGGTCCTGTTTATTACATTTACTGCAGTCCCTGCTCCACAGTTCAGAATGCATAATAGTTTTAAAATAACATTTTTATGGTGGGATGTTTCCTTACCCCACTATGGCTGCATGTCATTGACCACTAGTAAATACTTGCAAAGAGGGACGGATTACATAAAGAAGTGACGTGCCTGCAGATCTTTGTGTCTTTTTCTTCTTCATGGCCCCCGACATTTGAAATTCCTCTGACCTGGTCTGATATGCCTCCACCCTCACCTCCTTCAAGTCACGTCTTAAAATTCAATTCTTTCATAAGACCTCTGAGCCCCTATCTCCGCTGTTCCCCACTCCCATGGAGTGACTGTGAGAAAGACAGAGTCGTAAAGATACTGAGCATCTCCATGGATGAGGGGGAAAGAGTATGACTTTAGGTGGGTTATGTTATATTAAATTGCAGACATGGGCCCATTTATTTGTGTATGTATGTTATCAAATAAATGTTGTACATGAAACTAGAGCAACGGATAAACACATTTTAAATGGCGATGCTTAGTTTATATGTTTACAGCACCAGAAAGTGTACTGGGTACTTTCAGTGGGGGAGGGAATCGCTCAGTGGTTTGAGCATTGACCTGCTAAACCCAGGGTTGTGAGTTCAATCCTTGAGGGGGCCATGTAGGGAACTGGGGCAAAAAACAGTACTTGGTCTTGCTAGTGAAGGCAGGGGGCTGGACTCAGTGACCTTTGGTCCCTTCCAGTTCTAGGAGATAGGATATCTCCATTAATTAATTTATTTTTTATTTTAAATAAGACAAAAGCTCTGCCTCACAGATCTTCTAATTTAATTTTATAGTGACACAGCGAGGGGTTAACACACAATGCAGGGAAGGGGTGAGGAAGGACAAAGCTTATAGTAATAAGATTATACGCATGCCCTGATGGTGCTGTTAAATGTACTAAAAAGGGGGGCTGGGGGTTTAGTTGTTTGGGGCGTTTTAGATTAATTAACTTACTTCTTGTAGGAGGCCTGGCAGCAGGAGTGACTTTTAAGAAGGGACTGAAAGAAAAGAAGCTAAATAAATAAAGCTTGCTTCTAGTGATGGGCTTGGAGAGGTTGGGGGGTTATTTGGGGGCCAGAAAAGGGGATTCGGGTAAGATTTCTTTCAGGAGGGGTTTAAACAGGCCTTGAATGGTCCCTTAGACCATGTGCTAACTACTTATGCTCAACTAGCTGTTGGATCTTGTATTTAGATGTGACACTCTTGACTACCTTTCCCAGATCTGAAGAAGAGCTCTGTGTAGCTCAAAAGCATGTCTCTTTCACCAACAAAAGTTGGTCCAATAAAAGATATTACCTCACCCTCCTGGTCTCTCTACATCTTGTCTCTCTTAATCTGCATAACTCAGTAATTTCTAATGCTTTCACTTCTTCCCCTTTTCATACTTACAATATACACACAAGGTTTGCAGAGGGCAAAGAAAACAGAGCTCCCGTATGCATGAGCACTCACCCCGGGGAGAACATAGCAGACATTTTTGATGTGTACAAAAGTTGACTTGTTCAATAGTGTGTTGCTTTGTGACACCACTAACTAGCTCAGTGACAACATCTGAGTGCCATGTACATTCATATGGTGAACGTACTTTCTCAGAGAAAAGCTACACTGCACTGTGACAGTGAATGAAAATTTGATTCCTCCTTCCCCCATTCACACTGAGCTTTTAGCTTAGCCTATTGTCAAGATCTCATTCAAAAGGAAACAAGGTACATTTGGGTGTGGGGTTACCTGTTTTTCTAGTAGTTTTATTCTCCTTTTCCCTTTGTACAGAACATGCATTTAGATTGTTAAAATAATAGCTATTTCTACATGGGCTGGCATACAGTGGGAGCACTAAGTGGGTAGTGACAGTGTATGATTTAATTCAGGGATACCTATATTTTCTCCAATCAAGTAGACGGCGTCCCAGGAGACCCAGGAGTCCTGTTTAGGGCCAAATTCAGTCCAGATATAAGCAGGTGTAGCACCATTGAAATCCACAGAGTTACAAACTGGCTGAATCTGGTCCAAATTTACATTATAAATAAACAGAATGGGCTGTAGCTACCATTACCTTTAATATGGAGATAGAGCCTGCAGAGACTACAGATTCCAGCATGCAATGCTCTGTCTTGATATGATCAATCAGTCAAGCCACAATAGTAGCACCTTCATCCTGGAGAAAACAAGCATAAGACAGACCATCCCACCCCACCATCTCATACAGAAACTCCCCACCTGCTTTCCTCACTACACTGGGGCTTACGTGCTTGCAATATGTACTCCACACAGCTGTCCGTATTACATGCAGCAGCACTTTAAAAAACAGCTGAACCGGTGACACTTTTTGGCTGTTCTCCAGCATTCAGTTCAGCGTGTCTGCAGTTACACAGTCACACAGAGTTCTCTTTTCCACTTGAAGAAGCAGTGTTTCTGTCTGCAAGGAAGGGGGAAAGAAAAAAACATCATCAAAAAACGAGCGTCAGAATTCTAAAACTAATTAGCTCCTAAAGAAAAGTCTGTTTTATTTTTGTCACAAGAGATATCAGTTTGGTTCTACATGATGAGGCTTGAGAATAACCACCAGACATATTGTTTAGTTATAGATGGTAATTAAGCCTTTGGCTATTAAATTAGCATAATTGTATGGCAACACTTCCTGTGATGATCTGAAAAATATAGGAACCTGGTACACTCTAGGTTTTATTTATTTAGTTTCACATTAAAAACACTAACGTACACGAGAGATTTTAAATAATTATTGTGCATTTTAAAAATAATTTGTATTTATAATGACCCCATTTAATGTAGTGTCCTGAGTGTCATAGCAGGTTCAGGGGAGGTGTGTGGGGACACGACAGTGTTTTTGTATAAATATTATTTAACAGAAGTGATGGATTTGGGGATGGTGAAATATTTTATGTATCCAAGATGCAGCATATGGGAGGACTTTAAAATCAGAATTTTGTGTTTATTTCAGAGGGGAAACAGACAATGAAAAGAATCAGGAGTAGAGCTGGGCAAATAACTGAATTTTCAGTGACCATTTCTGGTGACCATTCCAGGCCCTGGAGTGGAGTATGCGCTACAGAGTTTCTCAAACTGGGATCCACAGACCCCTGGGGGTCTGCGAGAGTACTCCAGGGGCTCCGCGAGCCCTGCTGATCAACTCCTCCCCCTCCCACCCTCAACTCCTGCACGCCGGGGACCAAATGATCCCCGGCATGCAGGAGGTGCTCTGGGGGAGAAGGAGGAGGGGGCCGAAATAGGCGGGGAAGAGGAGGGGCAGGGGTGGAGTGGGGATGGGGCCTGGGGCTGAGCAGGGAGGCTTGGTAAAATTTTAAATCAAAATGGGGGTCCTTGGGTTACTAAAGTTTGAGAACCACTACTCTAGTGGGCACAGATTTTTCTGCCCATTCCTCCCAAGTGTCCTTCTGCCCTATCCCTATCTAGTCTCTTTCCCCACCCCTGGCTCCTTCTTCCAGTCACAGTTTCCACTCCTCAGGCTTCTCATCCCAGTCCTGTCTCCTTGACCAGCAAGTCCTAAACTCCCAATCCCAGACTCCCCAACTCCCAGTCTCTCCTCCTCCCCACATCCAGTCCTGCTCTCCTTGCCCAGCCAGTCCCAGTTTCCCTCTCCCCACACCCCAACTCCTTGGCTCCAGTCTCTTTGTACAACCATTCTAAGTTCTCCCCTCCAGGCTCCTCCTCCTATCTGTCTCTCCCCTCCCCTTTCACCCTGGCTCCCAATTCCAGTCTCCTTGCCTAGCCAGTGACAAAGTCACTCCAAAGCCCCAGCTCTCAGTCCCAGTCTCCTTACCCTCTCCTTACCCTCTCCCTATTCCAGTCCTCCTCTCCCCTACCTCTGGTTCCCAGTCCCAGCTTTTTTTTAAAAAAAATTAATAGAGATAGTCCGCTCTCATAGAACTGGAAGGGACCTTGAAAGGTCATCAAGTCCAGTCCCCTGCCTTTACTAGCAGGACCAAGTATTGATTTTGCCCCAGATCCCTAAGTGGCCCCCTCAAGGATTGAACTCAGAACCCTGGGTTTAGGAGGCCAATGCTCAAACCACTGAGCTATCCCTTCCCCCCATTCACCTAGTCCCAGCATCACAGGCACTGCCAGAAAGGGATGGAGCATGCTCCGCAAGCACAGATTCTTTGGAGATTTTAGCTGTTAAAATAAAAGGAGTGAGCATGTGTGAATTGTGATTTTCTAAGGCTTCTAAGGTGGCTAAATTTGGGAGGATTTTCATTGACTTCGGTGAATTTCCCATGTTACGAGGGGCAGCAGGTTTGTATAATTTTTGGTGGTGCCCAGAATGGGTCCAATTCCCCCCCACACACACACCTGCCTAAGGCTCTGGGAGGGAGTTTGGGTGCGGGAGGGATGTGGGCTCTGGGTCAGAGTTTGGGTGCTGGGTGCAGGCTCTGGGCTGGGTCAGGAGGTTGGGGTGCAGGAGGGGGTTTGGGCACTGGGTGCAGGCTCTGAGCTGGGGCAGGGGGTTGGGGTGCAGGAAGGGGTGCGGGCTCTGGGAGGGAGTTTGAGTGCTGGGTGTGGGCTCTGGGCTGGGACAGGGGGTTGGGGTGCAGAAGAGGGTGTGGGAGGGGATTTGGGATGCTGGCTGCGGGCTCTGGGAGGGGGTTTGGGTGCTGGGTGCAGGGTCTGGGCTGGGACAGAGGGTAGGGGTGCGGGAGGGGGTGCAGGGTCTGGGCCGGGGATGAGGCGTTTGGGGTGCAGTAGGCAGGCTGGGCTGGGGTGGGGGGAACCAGAGAGGAGGACTCCCCCCAGCCCTCTCCCTGCAGGCAGCAGCGAGCTCAGGGGGAGGGAGCGGCCCCTGGCACAACACTCAGGGAGATCCAGCCAGGATAAGGCCCCCGGAGTCAACTCGGAGTCACCTGCAGGGGGGGGGCTGTTTGTTTTTGTTTCAGCAGCGCGGCACTGGGGGGAGCTGGGGCTGGCGCGGCGCTCGGGGGGACGGGGGCTTCGGTGGCGTGGCACTGTGGGGGGCGGGGGTTGGCGTGGCGCGGTGCTCGGGGTTTGGGCGGCGTGGTGCTTGGGGTGGGGCGGGGGTTTCGGTGGCGCAGTGCTTGGGGTGGGGCGGGGGTTTCAGTGGCACGGTGCTCAGAGGGGGTGTTACGGCGGGGCAGCACTTTTTTTTTTGCCTGGGGTGGCAAAAAAGTTAGAGCCGGCCCTGAGCACAGCGTGGAGCTGCAGGGGGAAGCCGCCCACTGACCAGGGCAGGCAGGGATGCTTGGGGGAAGCGCCCAGGGGGCGGCAGGAGAGCTAGGATTAGAACCAAAGTGTCCAGAGCGCCTACCCTCTTCTCTAAGCAATAAAGATCTTCTATATTAATCTTTTGCCTGTTGTTAAACCATTAAAATACAATTGTATCGTATCTAATTCAGGGAATCACTAATATTGAGCCCTTCAGTTATTCTGAGTGGGAAAGTCTAAGCAGACTTTTGCTAATCACTTAAAAGCACTCAATCATCTGCCTTTTAAATATCACCTTCACATTACTCATAAAGGCTTGAATATGATAACCCGACAGCTTGCCAGTGGTTTCTGAGCTAAGTCTCAAGGCTACTTACCAACTTTTATATTTCTAGTGAAAATTTACAAACTCAGTCATGACTAATGTTTTATTTTTATTTGCATGAGCATATCTAATTTGCTATGCTTTGCATACACTAATTTACCATGAACAGTGTAGAAATTAATAAAGAACAAATAGAGGTTTTGGTAGCTGTTACTTGGGCATGATCATAAAATTGTTTACACACAAAATTAAAATATCCCTAAAATTACACCTAAAAATTAGAGATGGGTCCCAGCTGCTAAATTAAGACCTGGATTTTGAGTCCATCAAAATTTAGGGCTATTCAGAGCTGAGGTTTTGGTTAGGCCCATTGTAGAGAGAAGAACACACTACAAACTTTGGATCTGGATCCAGGTTCAGATTCTGAACCCAGCCAAATGTTCATGGTTGTCTGGAACCTGGTTTTTGGTTCATTTATCCTAAATATGCACGGTCTCAGACCTCTTAACTTTTTAGAATAATGATAACACGTCCAACATCTCATGGCTAGCTTTAAAAAACACCCATTAGAATTCTGAACAAGTGAATATCTGTTTTGCCAGTATTTACACAGATAAACATAGCCATCAATGCCAAGTTCATTGCAAAGCATCCGTCAAGTTCAGCTAGTAATAAAAGAGTATGGTCCATTCTCACAATATTTTCTCCTGTGGAGAACTTTAGATTAAGGGTTTTAAAAAGCAGCTAAAGGAGATGGGAGCTCAACTCCTTTCAATGGAAATTGGGCATTTAGCTCCCTGAGGAGCTTTTGAAAATCCCACCCTACAACAGAAGGTTATGAGAAGAGCTAATCAGGAATTCTTAAATGAAATGGGATTTCATCAGAAAATGTCATAAGAACATGAAAATGGCCATACTAGGTCAAACCAATGGTCCATTTAGCCCAGTATCCTGTCTTCTGACTGTGGCAAGTGCCAGATGCTTCAGAGGCAATGAACAGAACATGGAGTGATCCATCCCTTATCATCCAGTCCCAACTTCTGGCAGTCAGAGGGTTAAGGACACCCAGAGCATGGGTTGCATCCCTGACCATCTTGGTTAGTAGGAATTGATGGACCTATCCTCTATGAACTTATCTAATTTGTTTTTGAACCCAGGTATACTTCTGGCCTTCACAACATCCCCTGGCAACAAATTCCACAGGTTGACTACGTGGTGTGTGAAGAAGTTCTTCCTTTTGTTTATTTTAAACCCACTGCCTATTAATTTCATTTGGTGACCCCTAGTTCTTGTGTTATGTGAAGGGGTAAATAACCCTTGCCTATTCACTTTCTTCATACTACTCATGATTTTATAGACCTCTATCATATCCCCCCTTAATCATCTTTTTTCTAAGATGAACAGGCCCAATCTTTTTAACCTCTCCTCACATGGAAGCAAGCTGTTCCATATTTGGACACAGACTGACTAACCTAGTGAGGAGGGCTTTAAACTAGGTTCGACGGGGACAGGTGAGCAAAGCCCACAGGTAAGTGGGGAACATGGAGACCTGGGAGATGGGTCGGAAATAGGAGGGAGCGTGGGCCATAATGGCAGAGAGAAAGGAGGGTCAGGGCAAAACTGGGAGGCAAGATCAAATCAGTATCTTAGATGCCCATATATGAATGCGAGAAGTATGGGTAATAAGCCGGAAGAACTGGAAGTGCTAATAAATAAAGGGGTAAAAAACAAGGGTGATGTCATGCTAGGAGTCTATTACAGGCCACCTAACCAGGTGGAAGAGGTGGATGAGTCTTTTTTTAAACAACTAACAAAATCATCCCAAGCCCAAGATTTGGTGGTGATGGGGGACTTCAACTATCCAGATATAAGTTTGGGAAATAACACAGCGGGGC